TATTGATTTGGGTCATTTATAAATCTGCTAGGGTTGAATTCATTCATTCATTCATTCTTTCTTTCTTTTTTAAAATTAATTTCTTGTTCCCTGCTAGTATTTTGAGCTGGTCTTATTCCTTTCCTTTAGTTACCTGTTTTATAATATGTGTTGATAATTCCAATTTCAGGTCCTCGCAAGTCTCCATTTATATTCATTCTTTTGGTGATCTCTCATCCAATCTCAAAGTTTTACTTCCCTTCTATACCTGACTAATCTATTGTAAATTTTTTTCTCCAGAATTCTTGATATAACTCAACTGCTAACTCTAAATCTCTACTTGGATGTTTAATGAATTACTCAAACAAAAATGGTCAAAACCTAACTCTATGTTCTCCTTCAATGCAAGAATTAAGAAAATAGATATAAAGAATTGAGAATCGAGCTCCTGAATGCCTTTTAGTAAGATTCCATATTAAAAATGACATTTATATACAATGTTCGGTGATGCCCACATGCTTTTAGTCCATGTGACATTAAATATGTGGGATGAAAATAGATATAAAGAATTGAGAATCGAGCTCCTGAATGCCTTTTAGTAAGATTCCATATTTAAAATGACATTTATATACAATGTTCGGTGATGCCCACATGCTTTTAGTCCATGTGACATTAAATATGTGGGATTTTTTTTTAAGGCTATCTAGAAAGCCCAAACCAAAACTACATTAAGATATAAAATTTTCCTCAGTTTAAAATTTCATCCTCAAATCTCTATTTCTTCAGCCCACACCATCCTACTAAAACTGCATTCTCAAAGGTTTAAGATTTACAAGTTGCTAAATCTATCTCCAAAGCATCAACACTATTGATTACTGAACATGACACTTTCCTAAATATTATAAAGCTATAGTATTCAGGTTCACTTCTCATTTTCCAAACTTTTATGTCTTCTCCAATAACCTTGGTTTAGCCTTTAACCTCTAGTTTTTCTTTATATTGTCTTTGACTTTCATTCACTGTTGGCTTCAAATGATCGTTTCCATTATATTTAAAAAGTAACAATGCTTTTAAATTTTTAAAATGTAAAGAACAGATGATGAAATGGTGTTACATTTTCTCTTTTTCAAACAAAACTCAAAAATATTAAATGTAGAAAAACAGAGGCTTGGAACCCAGACATTTGCTTTAAAGTTTCAAGTCTCATACTATCTGTGCTACTTTTAACTCTTATCTCTTGGGTCCCTAGATTTTGCATTTGCAAAAAAGGAGGAGATTAAACTAGTTAAATGGTCCTTCTAAAGTTTTTCTTTTCTTTGACATTCTAGTTTATATTTTTTAAGTTATTTACAACTTATGTGACTCTTTATGGCCTGTATTCCCATTTCTATGACTCCTGTACAAAAAATGGGGGGGTGGAAGGAGGGGAAGATTCTCTAATCCTAACCTATGTAATACCTCAGATAAATGGTTTCAGAAAGATAGATGCTTGAGGTTCTGTGAATATAGGCCAAGTTGTTTTATGTGTTAGCAAAAGCAAAATAGCTTGTTGAAGAAGTTTTATTTATACAGACTGTATTTTGAATCACCTCTCGATGATGGCTTTGTTTACTCCAGAACTTAGTGTTCAACTACCTTCTAAAGTAAGATATCAATACAATTTTACTTTATTAGTTTTTTCTCTAACCTCATTATTATTCAAAATAATTATCACTTTTCCCCTTCTGTACTTCCTCTATTTAATTGTAAGTCGATTTAGCTATTAATTTTGTCTGCTCAGTTTTTTGTAATTCATGTAGTTCGGTTTAATACACCAGTTTCTATGTTAGCATCTGCTAACTTGAGTCATCTTAACCATTTGCTCTAGCAACATCATAACCCCAAGCTAAAACCTAATTCTAGAACTCATCTGACTATTTTTTAAGGGTCATTCTCTCTAAATATTATCTGAACTAATATACTTAACCAGAATAAAACTACAAAAATCAAGTTTGATTTACAGAGATTATTCCATTTCTAGTTACTTTAATGTCCAAATATGACAACACATGTTTATATCAATAAAAGATAAAATAAGTACATAGAACAGCAGAAGTAAGACTTTGGAATCACAGATTTTTAAAAATGATCATTTGGGAACATATTATCGTGCTTTATCATTCACTGTATTCTCCAAATAGTCAATGGTCTTGTCTCAATTTATTGTTACTATACCACGCCAAATACATTTATATCTGTACGCCTTGTTAATGCAGGTATTTTTTCTCTGACTGAAATATCCTCAGAGTTTTTTGTTTGTTCATTTAGATTTAACATTCTTTTCAGTTCAAATGAAATGTCGCATTGCCGCCTGAGCAGAATAAATCATTATCCCCTCCTGCTTTCCCACAGCATTTTGTTTATAATTTCATCACAGCCGGCCATTTATTTTTCCTCATTACAATTATTTATTTTCAGATTCGTATCCATTAGAATGTACGCTTTTTGAAGGTAGGGAATATATATGTGTTTCCCCTGACACTTTCTCCTTCCCCAAATCTAACCCAGTACTCACAATGTCTATTGTGCATGTCCATTAAGGAACACTGGTCTTTCATCTTCCTATTTTGACCCAAGTATTTATAGTTTCAAAATGCGTATGTTTCTTTTAGTAATACTTTGTTTAAAACTATTTTATTCACATTTACACACAAATTAAGTCTATGTATTAATACTTATTAGATTAAGCAGCAATTAAAGAAGATATCTCTAAAGGTCCCTTTGCATACAAAATTTAAAACTTGACTTCTAATTTGTTCAGTTAACTCACTTCGAACATATAAACTATGTTTTACCTGTCAGGATAAATAAGCACTATTGTCATTTCAAGAGAACTTTGTAAATATAGTATTACATGCATTCTTTACAAGATTACTGCTAAATCACTTTACTCTTTAATAGATTATTTTAAACACAAAAGTACCTATTTTTAGAAGAATGACTCTCTTTTGAATCCTAAGCACTTAAAACAAATGTTTCAGCAATACTTTCTACATGTTTAACAAATGTCAGACCACCCCATATATGATCAAAATACTACATTAAAAAAAAATCTCTAAAATGTGCTTAATATTGATAAGAGATCAACATGAATTTTTAGAAACTGCTGCTTTAACATCTTTCCAGAGAGATTATCTTTTTCTCAGAAATAATTTTAATTATAACCCAGAAAATTATATTTTTTCTTTCTAAATCTAAAAATCATTCTCTAAAATTCTGTTACCTGCAAAAAACACATGGCAAAGGTGACATCAAGTGCCTTACAGGTTATTTATATTATAGTATCATCTACTCTAGTCAAATGTTCCCACCAAAATGTCACAAAGAATAGTGTTAACTTTTTTCTCCACATGTTGAGATTTCCTAGTTTCCATTTAACTGTATACTGTAAGTCCTTTGCGATACATGCTACCTCATATCTACCCTTGTGTGTCTAATCTCATGCTCTAATCTGCTTCTTCATCTTTCTCTAACATCATTTAATGTGTTCTCTTAAAAAATCTACCCAAACACCTCAAATTCAATTATCCTATTTCTACCATTCTCTTCTAAGTATGCACAGGCAAATTTAATGTTTAGAGATGTGCTACAGAACAAAAAAGATTGGAAAAAATAACTTAAATCTATGAACCTAAAGGGTATGTTTTTGTTCTGTAAAGTAACATTTCAAAGGATGAGTCAACTGAAATGTTTAAGAAAAATATTCAGTAGTTCAAAGGGAGTCATTTTAACCACTATAAATTAGATGTAATCAGACTGAAGAAAAATACTGAATGTGATTTATAAAAAAGTTATAGTCAAGTGTATGATTGGACTAAAGCTTTATTGATCTATACCAACAAATTCACTCAGTTCAACAATATAGGAACATTCTAAAGCCCCCTTTAGCAATACAATATCATTTTGAAAACTCAATTTGTTTTTATTTGTTTTTCTGCTAAGATTTCAATACTACTGTAACAATTTGAGGTAAAGAGTCTATTTTAGATCTTCAAGGTAATTGCTCCTTTAGTTAAAAAAAAAATTATAAACCAGTCAACGCTAATTTTTCATTCTATTTTCATTTAGCTAAAAATGACAACAAAAAGCATTTCAACTATCAGCCCTACTTGTCATGTGTGTAAACATTTCGAAGTTAAAAATCTGGCACTAAAGTCATTAGTAAAGTAGAACTGGAAAATCAAGTGGTACTTATACTAACACATTTTACTACTGTTTCTTCAGGCATAGTAAAGTTATCCCCATCATATTTGTATCTCCACCTCATCTCTTGATTTTGCTCCTTTCTTCCAGTTTTAGTCTCTTCCCTTACTTCTGAATGCATTTTGGACTCTGGTTGGTCACTTTATTCTCTAACCCTCAATTTGCCTTTTGCTTTTCATCCTTAAATCACCAATCCTACTTCAATCCTTCAATCCAACCTAACCTTCAAATAACCTAATCACTGATGGAGAACAATCATACCATTTGTACAGATTTGTTCAACAAAAATTCAAATTGATAATTTCATTTTTGTATCTTGATATATTTACCTGACACAAACTTAGCTTCAGTCACATCCCTCTTCTATGAGGGTTCTTCAAAAAATTCATGGAATGATTCATATTATCCTTTTTTTTTTTTTTTTTGTCCTTTTTGTGACCAGTAAGGGGATCGCAACCCTTGGCTTGGTGTCGCCCACACCGCGCTCAGCCAGTGAGCGCACCGGTCATCCCTATATAGGATCCGAACCCGCGGCAGGAGCGCCGCTGCGCTCCCAGCGCCACACTCTCCCGAGTGTGCCACGGGCCCAGCCCCATATTATCTTTTAATTCAATTTTCCACAAACTTTTTGAAGTACCCTTGTATTCTTCATGGACTATCAAAAACTTTTGCCACTTTGTTCAACTGTCTACCCCACGGTCCGCTTAATTCTCAGTAGATGAGCATTTTTTTTCTTACAGAGTTATAAATTATAAGTCAGTTGATAAAAACTGATTTACCTTCAGGGGCATCTGCATCACATCTCTTTGGCACAGAAAGGGTTGAATTGCCTTTTTGGTCATCATAAGTTATATTGCTCTGAAAGATAAAAATATAATTAAAATGTAAATATTACATTAACAAATAGTTTTGGATTTAAAAAGTAATAACGTTATAAACTTTAGACTCTGTTTCCTACTAACTACATCTATCTAATATTCTAAAAGGCAAATTTTATGCAAAATTGCATTTAGAAGATAAAGAATTATGGTAAATTTAACATTAGAGCTTTTGCATCAATCTCTTAGGTCCTGGCTTCTTCCCAGAACTAACAAATCCCATTTCTAGTCCAAAGGTGGTATCCAAAAAGAAACATAGTACTTATTTTCAGAATGGAACAAGCAAAGAATATCTTTTGTCCACACAAAAAAGCATAATCTTCACTCATTTGTTCACAGAAGAATGTTTAATAAGCATGAGCTTAGATGAATTAGGTGCAGGTTATGAGGTAGAAAGAGAATAAAAGGTATAAGAAGTATAAGAGGGCCGGCCCGGTGGCGCACTTGGTAGAGTGCGGCGCGTGGGAGTGCAGCGGCGCTCCCGCCGAGGGTTCGGATCCCATATAGAGACCAGTCCGCTCACTGGTTGAGCGCAGTGCGGGCACGACACCGAGGGTTGCGATCCCATTGCCGGTCCCGGTACGGGCGCGACACTGAGGGTTGCGATCCGTTGCCGGACACGAAAAAAGACAAAAAAGGAAAAAAAAAAATTTGCTCTTAAATAACAGTATCTTTACAATATAAAAATAATCAAGTTTAAAATATTGCACTTACCTCTATTAAGTAATTTTGGCTTCCATACATAACATACTGGGGAGCAAGACTATAAATCATGTAGCTAGTGTGAAGGACAATAAGCAGAAGTATCATGCAGAGAAATAAGAGTGCTTGGGGCCTGGTTCTACCTCTTCTGATTTTATATAACTGGAAAGAAAAAAGTGACAAAATCTCAGCCATATATTTTATTTGCAAAACATTAAATCTTGCTCTTGTGTTAAAAAGAGTGATTTACACAGTTCAATCAACCATTTCTTTTTTCCAATATAAATCCTAAGAATTCTTAATCATTCCAAATAACTACAAGAATAATAAAGACAATTATTTCCCTGTAAAGCTTTTAGATTTTTTTTTTTTTGTTTATTTTTAAATAATGGCAAAGCATTATTTAAAAAGATCCAAAAGATCCATTAAAAACTCAGGACCTACAGAATATATTAGAATTCACACAGTCTGTTTCCAGATAGACTTTGTAATCTTATTGTGTAATAATGTTAGAAGTTCACAGAGCTAAGAAGAATTGTGAACTACCTCTAGTCCTATGTAAATATTAGAAGTATGAGTTTAAACTGTATTAGTAATATATTTACGGTTTTATATATTTATGGTTATATATAATATTACTACACAAGAACAGATGTCATGTTTATAAATATTCATTCCTATGAAATACTCATGACATCTTCATATTATACTCTTCTATAAAATTTAATTTATGATAACCTGACTACATATATATTCACATGTATCTATATTAAAGAAAAATTAAGACATGGTAACTAAAATATAAAGAACCAGGTGACTTGCTTCTTTTCAATAGCGGAGCACACTTTTAGTTTAGCAACTTACGTATTACCTCCTGTTTTATTAGTAGATTGTAGTACAGTATAGACTAACAGAACTCTAATTCTGGATGGGATGACAATAAAATCACTTAAAAATTTACATTTTCCAGCTTCCCTTACAGCTAGTAGCAGTAATGTGATAAAACATTAAACATCAAAATCAAAGCAAAAGTGCTAGGAATTTCTGGGAAAGTCTTGCTTTATTGATATAGGTGTATACCCCTTCCTCCTACTTACCTTCTTCCTTATAGAACATGAACAGGATAAATGGAGCTGCAGCAGCCATACTGCAATAATGACGGAGACACTCAAAGAATTACAGAAATATTGAACCTGACATGTTTAAGCTACTGAAGCAATACTAGATGATTTTTTTTTTCCCATAGCAAGAAGACTTTCATTAGTTCAAGCCACTATTTAGCTGGATTTTCTTTTACTCATAGTTGGAAGTAATGTGTATCTGAAATAGCTTTATTTTAAAATTCTTAATTTACCTCAAAATGAGTATAAGAACAAAATGACCAATCATATAGTAATTTTTAACTCCTAATAGGGAGGGCCATATTTTGAGCTTCAGTTGTATCCAATGTGTTTCACTGTGTTTCCATGCAGCCAAACACTAAAGAAAAAAACATAACTCTGGATCAGGGTTTCTCGGCCTTGGCACTGTTGATGTTTTAGGCTGAATAAGTCTTTGCCCTGTACAATTAGGATGTTAGCAGCATCTCTGGCTCCTACCCACTATATACCAGTAGCACCTCCTAGTGATAACAATTAAAAATACATCTGGACATTGCCAAATGTCTCCAGGGGTAGAGGTGTGGGGTAATCACCCATGTTTAAGAACAACTGCTCTAGACAAAAAGCACTTTTTTGTTAACATAAAGTGAAAAAACTAGTACCTCCATCATTTTTGGTATCAAGATATTTACAACTTCTGTATCCTAAACCTAAGATAGTTTGCAATAATGGAAAGTATGAACAAAATAATAATAATAAAAAATTCAAAATACTATTGTAATATTATACTTACTCTAATCCAAAAGAACCATATGCCAATATTTCGAATTCCTGCCATTGAAGTAAAAATAAAGTACATAATAATAATTGTAATAAGAATATAATCCAGAGGAAAAACCTGAAAAAGTTAAAATTAAATTTAATACACAAATTATAAGGGCTTTAGAACTCACATAAAATTAACTGAAAACTTCATTATTCATATTTGGCAAATGTTTAAACTATCAACTCTGATTTAGATTAGGCTACTATGATAATAACACCCCCCCCAAAGATCTTCAAAAAACAAACTAATACCAAATCATTACCAAATTATTTAATACCATTATACTACAAAAAAATCCTAAAACAAATTAAACTAAAAATTATATTTACATATAAAATAAAATACTTCATTAAAAATTAAAAACAAAAATTGTTTGGAAAAATTCACCTTATGTTATATAATGTATCCCAAATCAAATAATGTACAACGTAAAAGTCCAGCAATATATCAATATAATCTTTAAAGCAACATGTCAATGTAAAAGTCACAAGCAAATAAAAAGTCAAATTAGCAAAGGGCACAAGTATATATCAAAGTATTAATAGGTTTGTAGCATAAGTTTTATGTGGAACAGAGTGTCAGAATGTTTGCTAGAGGGCTGGCCAGTTAGTTCAGTTGGTTAGAGCACCAAGGTCAAAGGTTTGGATCTCTACACTAGCCAGCCACAAAAAAGAGAGAGAGAGAAAAGGGATAATGAAATTTTACAGATTATTGGTCACTGCCCTTGACTGATCCTTAACTAACAAAATATTTCAAATGACTTAATCTATGAAGAAGGCGACAAAAAAAAAAAAAAAAAAAAAAAAAAAGAATGTTTGCTAAAAGATAAAATGACTGATATTTTACTTACTGTTTGTAGTAAAGGCAAAAGCATATTCAGTGGATTACTAAGGTTAGCTCCAAAAATTATAAAACCAGAGTCTATTCCAGCTGAATGAAGAGCTTTATCTAAACTAAAATAAAAAAATTATAAAGAGTGAATTTATGTTATAACATTACAATTTCAGTTAACTTAGAAAGAGTATCACAACTTAAGCATGCTAATTCAGTTCAGTCAAATAAAACCATGGATAACAAATTAAACCTCATTTAAATGTCTCACAGATATTGTTCAATTGATATAGAATAAAGAAATAGTGTCTACTATTGGACCTTTTAGACATTCTTTGAATTAATGCTGTAGAACACTTCAGGTAAAATAGCTACTTAAGATGAATAGGCTACACTAATGTAATTCAGCACAAAAATGTATACAATCATAGGAAGGTATAAGTGCTTTAGAAAATGTGTACTTACTTTGACAGGAAGAGAGAAATTACAAACAGCCATGCAACTAAGATGAAAAATATTCCCCAAATGATCTAAAAGCAAAAATATATTCATTAAAACATAGTTTTAAAAGTTGATAGCAAAAGCAGAAAACCATTATGCTCAATATGAGTTGCTAGCATATGACAATGCTAACAAAAATGATTAACTAAAATGATCCAAGATACCTTTTAATTTAGAATATAGTCCCAGGCATTTATACTGAAATGTTCACTATGAGACTATTTGATTGAGAACAAGGACACAAAACAGACAAAGCATTTGAAAATTCTTCACTAATAAGTAAACAAATGCAACTCTTTGTTAGATCAAACATAAAGTTTTCATTTTATTACACTCCAACATAAATTTCAATGTTAACTAAAAAGTACATTAAGACTAACACACACACAAAACAAAGAAACTCACCAGGTTTTATTACCCTATTAGTTAAAATAGGGAATTTGGAACATTTTCCCATAGCAATAATGATAGATATACATAGTGGTTAAATTGTATCACAACCCAGAAAAGTCTATATAAGTGATACTATTCCTGAAACAGAAATAACAGCACTGAAGAAACTGCCATGTAAAACAATGTTTCTGTGGAAAAACATTAGGCATTGTAACTGGTAAAACACATTTCTTTCTACTGCATAAACTTTACATTAGCAATGGTAGAAAAAAAGAAAAATACTGAAACTCAGTCTCTAAGGAATAAGTTCATAATAAGAAAGAGGTGAAGTTTAAGTTAGTAATAACTTAGGCTCTTTTTTTTCCTGACACCTTCCCCAAGTTCCAGAGACAGCTGGCCTAAAGAGTCAGCAAGGCAAAAGAGAAACAGGAAAGTCCTACAGTTAAATGTTTTTGGCTTCTCCTTTGACTGGAAATGATAAAAATAGATGGATAAAATTATTAATGTTAGGGAGATTTTCCATTTCATTTCACATGGTTTCTGAAGTATATTTTAGGATGCTGAGGGGATAAAAGAAGTAAAATAACAACAGGTCAACCTACCTGGCATATAAAGATGATTTTGGAAGTAATTTTAGGCCTTCATTCTGGGGAATTCTTCAGTTCTGACAGGATGCCTTTGGGACTTGTCGGGAAGGAAAGAGTTGGCAACAAGAGGACCAAGAAGGCTATAGTCACCTCTTGAAATAGAGTAACAATGCATGTATCTATTTTACATACTGGGATCCCACATGAGAATTAATAATTCCAAAAGGGTCTCATTGCTAAAAAACTTTGAAGTAACTCCTTTACAGTAAGAAACGTTCATTAGTAGAGGGCATAAGAGTTACCATCCTTTTAATACTAGATTCAGAAAACTATATTTTATACCTAGGTGAAATGGAAGGCAATATCCTTATACTGAGGATCCACAAGTGAAACACACTACTTCTTAAGAGCCTGTTAACAAGAAATAGCTTGTAGCATGAGGCAAAATAACTACCCAATGCCAATTATTAGAAGAGGAACATGACATAGAAATAGCACTTAAAATTAAGATTCCCTTCCCCTGATGTCCATTTTGGAAAAAAAAAAAAAAAAAAAATCCATAACTATCCTTCCCAATATGTTGGAATGAATGACCCAGAGACAGACTGTTCAATCAATTAGTAATAGAACACATAATAAACATAAAAAAGATAAATATTTTTTACAGACCAAGAAAACTGTATGCAAGTTGACCCTTTAACAATGTGCCTATTAGGGACACCAACTCATGATGCAGTCAAAAATCCACATAGAACTTTTGACTCCCCCAAATTGTAACTATTAATAGCCTTCTATTGACTAGAAGACTTACTGATAATGTAAACAGTTGATTAACACATATTCTGTATGTTACGTATATTATAAACTGTATTCTTACAATAAATTGAACTAGAGAAAGAAAAAATTAGAGGAAAAACAAACAAAAAAACACAAGTAAGCTAGAGAAATCTCCAAAAAACTTTCTAACATATTTATTGAAAACAGTCCACATATAATGGACCAATGCAGTTCAAACCAGTGTTGCTCAACAATCAGTTGTATATTTAAATATGAGAAGTTAAATTAGTACTTATAAATCATAGTGATAATCATGTTGGGTTCACCTAGATGCTATATATTATACGTTAGCTATATTGTCAATTTTGAACTAAAAGTTAAGCTACAGAGGTGACCAAGGAGGTACAAGATTTGTAAATCAAAAACTACAAAACATTGGTGAAAGAAATTAAAGACCTGAATAAACAGAAAGACATCCCATGTTCATGAACCGAACTTAATAATTTCAAGATGGTCATACTTCCTAAAGTGATCTACAGATTCAATGTAATTTCTATCTATCAAAATCCCACCCAGCTTCTATGTAGAAATTGACAGCTCACACTAAAATTTATATGGAAATGCAAGAAACCCAGAATAGCCAAAATAAACCTGAAAAAAAAAAGTTAAGAGGGTTCACACTTCCCAATTTCAAAACTTCCTACAAAACTACAGTAAGTAAGACTGTAGTTCTGGCCTTAGGATAGACATACAGACCAGTGGAATGGGACTGAAAGATCCAAATAAAACTATACCTCTGTGGTCAATTAATTTTTGACAAACATGCCAAAAAAATTCAATGGGGGTAAATAAGAGTCTTTCAACAACTGGTGCTGGTAAAAATGGATGCCTGTATGCAAAACAAGTTGGACCCCTGCATCACAGCATAAACTAAAATTATTTCAAAAGGGACCAAAGGCCTAAATGTAAAAAGCTAAGGTAAAACTATAAAAACTCTTAGAAAACACAGATATAAATCTCCATGACATTGAATTAGGCTATGGTTTCCTAGATAAGACACTTAAAGCACAAACAACAAAATAAAAAGATAAATTGGATTTCATCAAAATTAAAAACTTTCATGTCATGGGTATTCACAGAAATAGAAAAAACAATCCTAGTATCAAAAGACCCCAAATAGCCAAAGCAATCTTGAGCAAACAGAAATAAAGCTGGAGGCATTACACTCCTGACTTTATACTACAAATTATACTACAATTTATTTAGACTTTATGCTACAAGTTATACTACAAAGCTACAGTAACCAAAACAGCATGGTACTGGCATAAAACAGACACATGGACCAATGGAACAGAATAGAGAACCCAGATTTATCAATCCGCATACTAACAACCACCTGATCTTTGACAAAGGCACCAAAAACATATACTGGGGAAAAGACAGTCTCTTCAATAAATGGTGTTGTGAAAACTGGACATCTATGTGTAGAAGAATGAAACTAGACCTGTACCTCTTGCCAGATGACAAATGAATTAAAGACGTGATATAAGACCTAAAATAAAACTTCTAAAAGAAAACATAAGGGAAAAACTTCAGGATGTAGGACTGGGCAAAGACTTTATGAATAAAATCTCAGAAGCACAGGCAACAAAAGAACAAATAAACAAATGGTATTAGGGCCGGCCCGGTGGCACACTGGAGAGTGTGCCGCTTGGGAGCGAGGCGGCGCTCCCGCTGATGGTTCGGATCCCATGTGGAGACCGGTTCCCGCTCACTAGCTGAGCACGGTGCGGGCGCAGCACCGAGGGTTACGATCCTGTTACCGGTCAGTAAAAAAGACAAAAAGGAAAAAAAAAAAATGGTATTATATCAAACTAAAAAGCTTCTGCACAGCAAACAATCAACTGAGTGAAAAGACAACCTACAGAATGGGAGAAAATATTTGCAAACTATGCATCCAACATGGGATTAATATCCAGAATATACAAGGAACTCAAACAACTTCACAGTAAAAAAAAAAAAACCCTAAATTATCCAGTTAAAAAATGGGCAAAGGAGTTGAGTAGACATTTATCAAAGAAAGACATACAAATGACCAACAGGTACATGAAAAAATGCTCAACATCACTCAGCATCAAGCGAATGCAAATCAGAACCATACAGAGATGTCATCTCACTCCTGTAAGACTGGCTATTATCAAAAAGACAGAGAACAACAAATTCTGTTTCAAACATACAGAATATTAAAAAAAAGAGTATCTATCATATACAATATTTGCAACCTGGACATTAGTTTCAGTTAAAATATAACACATCCTGAACAACATTTTAAATATTTGTTCAAAAATTATTTTTTTATATAAGCATATAGAGCTTCCATTCATCTTAATGGCTGTATAACAGAATACTTCCTAGGTATGGAGGTAACAATTCATTAAGCCAGTCTCCTGTTGATGTACACTGATTGCTTTCACCATGTGGTTATTAGAAGCAACAGTGTAACAGTCAAAAAAAATTCATAAAAATGTAATAGACTTTATTTTTTAGAATATTTTTTAGGTTTACAGCAAAATTAAGGCAACAGTCCAGAAGTTCTTACATACTCCTCTGCCTCACCACAGTTTCACCTCTTATTAACATCAGGCACTAACATGGTACATTTGTTATACTGATGAAACATTATCGATGCACTATTATTAACTAAAGTCTATGGTTCACATTAAGGTTCACTCTTTGTATTGTACAGTTCTACAGGTTTTGACAAACGGATAATGTCATGTGTCTACCATCAGAGTCATACGGAATAGTTTCACTTACTGGCCTAAAATCCCTTGTGTTTCACCTATTTATCCTACCCACTCACCCGAAACCCCTAACAGCCATTGACCTTTTATTGTTTCTATAGTTTTGCCTTTTCCAGAGTATCACATAGCTGGAATAATATAGTATGTAGTCTTTCAGGCTGGCTTCTTTTTGCTTAGCAATATGTATTTAAGATTCCTTTATCTCTTTTTGTGAACTGATAGCTCATTTCTTTTTATCACTGAATAATATTCTATTAAATGAATGTACAACCATTTATTTATGCATTCACCTACTGAAAAACATCTTGGTTACTTCGAGTTTTAGCAATTAGTTCATAAAGCTGCTTAAAAACATCTGTGTACAAGTTTTTGTATGGATATAAGTTTTCAACCCAATTGGGCAAATAGCTAGGACTACAATTCCTGGATCCCACAGAATGACTATGTTTAGCTTTGTAAGAAACTGCC